CGGGAAGGGGTGGAAGGATGGATGAAGGGAAGGGAAGACGTAGTGCTCCGCCGATACATTGACCGGTGTTTTGGAGGATGGGATGGTGCAAACACTTTGGCAATGACGACGAACGAAGTGAGAAATTGTTTTCGAAAGTATAGCAAGTTGGTAGCAATGCCCATTGATCGGAACCCTGGTGCCACTTTGCTCTTATGTCCGGTACTGTACCATCGCGCTTGTCTCGAGACCTTTAATCGGAATCACAGTTTTGGAGTGGTGCAGATGTCAGAAGATCAGGTGCGTGCCCGGATGAAGAAAGAGTACGAAGAGGGAGGGCTGAACTGAATCGCACGGTGGCAGACGAGAGGGAAGATTGGTCAAGCTTATGTACTACCCAAAGACAAGTATTTGGATAGATGGAGACCGATCTCGCCTTGCACCTCTGATCCAGCGAGAGTAGGTAAAGCGGTAAGATATATGCTGTTTGGTGTACGAAGGGCCGAACATTTTGATCTTAAGTCTATGGATGAGTTGCGAGCACATTGTAGAGAAATTCAGAAGGAGTTGGGGGCGAAAGGGGACGGCGTTCTCGCAGGAGTTATGATATTAAAGATATGTTCGCGCGATTGTCACATGAAAAGGTGATGGAAGCAGTTAACTGGGTCATAAGTTATCACGAGAGGAAGGGGTTGAAAGGAGTACGGCTGGGTTTGAGGGGAAAACTATGTGCGATGGTAAAGAAAGTACGGAAGGAAGAAGGATTTGTGATCCTGCGGTTTGAGGATATTAGGAGGGAGGTGGCATTTGAGCTATCACATTCGTTTGTTCGATGCGCAGGGAGCGTGATGGCACAAAGATTTGGAATTCCCATGGGAAGGAATTCCAGCCCGGCATTGGCCTGTCTAGTATGTGCTATGGCCGAGTCAGCCTTTATGGAGAAGATTGTGGGGGAGGGAGTAGTGGTAAGAGGGATGAGGATGATAGATGATGTGGCCGTGTTGGTTGGTTGTACACCAGACTTACCTGAGACGGTCCGAAAGGCGATCCGGATCTTGGACGTTTTCGAGGACTGCTATGATGATAATCTGAAACTCGTGGGAAGGATGGAGGGGGAAATGCATTCGATTTTTTGGGGACTCGTGTCATCGTCGAAACCGAACCCGTAAGAATTAATGTTTCACCCAGAACCCGAAATCAGATGTCTCTTCTTGAAGATGGGATTTTGAGAGTACAGTCGATGCAAGACTTTGCCTCGCTCACGAGGAAAGCAGCCAAGAAGGCGGTGGTATACGCAGCGCTGGTCCGGATGAATCGAATCTCCAGTTCGGAGGAAGCGATGAAAGCTGCGATCACTGCACTTATGTGGGAAACTCGCCTCCGGGGGTACCCCCCGGAGGTCTCTCTCCGGGCCCTTGCGAAATTCGCGAGGACGTCCGGTGGTCCGTGGGGGGTTTATCTCCCCGCTGAGTACCCCGGGCTGAGCAGGTATATGGGTCCAAAGGGGGTGTAAAAAAGTGGCCTTTGAAGGGCTGTGTAATGGTAGATGGGTTGGGGGAGGCCGTAAGACGTTTTTTTGACGGCACAAAATGGGGGGGGGGTTGGGTCTTTTTGCGAAAGGAATAGGGTGTGTTTTTTTGCTGTCCTTGTTTGCTTGTAGTCGTGGATAGAATACGGATTCATGCAGTACTTGGGTTCTGACTAAAGGCGGGAAAAGATAGCACGGTAGATATTGCGTAGGAAGGCGGAAAGCTTCAATTTGAATCGTGGGGGCATGCCGAAGGGAGGAGGAGGGGACGACAGGATGACGCAGCGGGATTGATGAGCTATTTCGAGTAAGCTTAGTTAACCCGAGAAAAATGGAGGAACTGGGCGTAGAGAGAATTGTGAGGAACATCCAGTCGATGCGCTGGGGGGATGACAGAGTCGGGACCATATATGGGAGACGACCGGCGGAAGAAGAAGGGYAAGTGACGAACCTTTTCGGGTATCTATGTGAGCGGGATCCGGGGGAAGGGAAATTCTTGGTGTACATCCATTCGAGGAAGGAAACTGCATGGGCGGGGGTGGGCAGAGTCGGATCCATATATGGGAAACACCGGCTGAAGAAGAGGTGGAAGAGGAGTGATGGTAGGAGCGATAGGCGGAGGGTGAAGGGGGAGCAGTCAGCTTGGCGAAAGACAAGTCGAATGGGCAAGATGCAGAAGAGTGGATCGTCAGATACTATGATCAGTACGAGGATACGATTCAGAGCAAGGTGGGCAGGGAGGAGGGTAGGAGGGAGAAAAAAAAAAAAAAAAAAAAAAAAAAAAAAAAAAAAAAAAAAAAAAAAAAAAAAAAAAAGAAAAAAAGAAGAAAGAAAGAGCAGGAAGTTATTAGGCCTGATTAATGTAGCGCAGGGTGGATCAGTAGTCTGAGAAGTTAGCGAAGAGAAGTACAGTAGGAGGAGTAGATACAACAGGGTGCAGTTGTGGGTAGACACTTAGGTAGGATGCGCGCGGAGAGAGGATATAAGGAGGGGAGGAAGGGCTTACCAGGTATCCCGAGTCTTATATGCTTTTTGGAGTCGTTAGGGAAGCCTGCTGATGAGTCCGCTGTGTACGCCAGTGGCGAAACGCGTAGAGGCACATGCGTACTTGGGTGATCTAACGAGCTATGAACGATAAAGTGGATTCGGGGATATTGGAGTGTTGGGGTGTGGGTGATGCCTTGCTTTGTGTTGCTCTCTATTCTATTCTCTCTCTCTCTCTCTCTCTCTCTCTCTCCCCCTCAGAATAGGGGAACCCGGGCGTGCAAAAAAAAAAAAAAAAAAAAAAACGTCGGATTCTGTGAGGGATTCTAATGTGACCCTCAGCCAAAACTTCCCAAAAGTCGTTTGTATTGGAACTCTGTACAACATTTTTTTTTTCCGGAATATTTTTATTTTTATTTTTATAATTTTATTATAATTATTTGCGCTGGGGCTCCCTGGAACCCTGCCCAGGGGTCATGCTCGGCCAGGCGTGTACCCGGGCATAAGTTGAGTGCCTGGGCGCCCGAAAAAACAGCCTAGTCATTTGGACCATTTCTCTATTTATGGTATTTGTACATGTCATCCTTGTGCAGGAGCCATGCTTATCTTCTCTGTATTGTTCCAATTTTGATGGATGTCCTCGAAGGACACCCTTTTTCCCTGGCAAACACCATATGGGTATGAAATTACTATGAATGCAAATATTGAGTGCCTATGGTGTGTGGCTGGTTCATTTTAAATTTGACTCAATGAGAAGACAATGGATCAGGAAGATGACGGTGTTGTAATGACTGTATGTGCCAGACTTGCAGCCTATGATGTGTGGCTATGGTGTGTGTCTTTCAGTCTAGGGTGGTAGGCTTCATGAGTGGCACTTGTCCAACTCACAAGCCCCTTGGAAGTCAAATCCTCTCTGGCTATTTGCCAGACTTTGACTTTGACTTGTCTGTGGACGGTGTGGGGGTGCTCCCTTTTGACTTCGACTGTATCAGCTGGACCAGGTTAAAGATGTATGGCATTGTGATACTTACTTCATGACGTGTGCGCTAGTGTGTTTTTCAAAGTTTCCCAGCGGAAATGTTGTCGCGTCCGAAAGAAAGATGTACTTTTTGCAACGAAAGTGAGACCCCGTCCTCAAATATCTTTGCTGTGAAACTACCGGGACCTCTAAAGCTGCAACAAAAGATGTATTTTTGCAACAAAGCTTGGGCCCCACCACTATTTTTACTGTGAAACTACCGTGAATGCGCTATTTTTGAAGCTCACCCTTTTAACTTTGACTGTCTAAGAGGGTGGGAGATGTCCATCTCATGATGCGTACCGCTCAAAAGCTCCTAATCATAGCGGCACTACCTCGACCCCGATTTGTTGGGCCTACCGATTCAGCTGTACCACGTCTGAAACCGGACCCTCATTTAAGCAACGGCAGCGCCCTTTGCCAGCCAGCAACACCGTGATGCAGGTTCTTCCTGACTCCTAGGGTCTACCCCTAGTGGAGTTTTGCTGTTGTAACAGTTGTACCGTATGCTCATTCATCTTCCACTCAGAGGCTCGCCACAGGCTGTCGAATGTCGAAAATTTTCGACAGTCAGGCGGTCGACAATTTCCCCCCCCTTCGCCACATAGCCTGTCGAGGGGCGAGGTTGTCGAAAGTTGGCAAGTAGACTCAGCGTTTCGACAGGTGCTGTGTGGCGAAGGCGGTCACCTGTCGGGAGTTGTTACAACGATGAATTTGTGCGCGCAAGCGGACCAGAGCAGGCTCTTCACGGGACCACCTGAAACCAGATGTCCACGCCGTTTCCGACAGCCACTTTCGACTACATAGGGACAAACAGGCCACGGCTGTCAGGGAGCAGTCCCTGACAATGGAAAATCGGAGGCATTTTTCGAAAGGTGGGCGGGCCACTGTCGAATTTCCGTCACCTGCAGGCGGGAGGAAACGAATGCTGGAGGGCGGCTGTCAAAACAACGAATCTGACACCTGTCGAAAAATTCGTAAACCGCAATTCTTCGAAAGTCTGTGTGGCGATGCAAAATTGTAGAAAACCGGGTTTTTGACAGCCTGTGTGGCGAGCCTCTCAGTGCGCGATTGATTGATTCTGGAGATTCTGCCATTGCAGCGATTTAAGGTGGTGTGCAGTGTTGCCCACTCCGCAGTCAGGTTACACTCATGAAGCCTACCGTCTTCCCCGCCAATAAAACATACAGTCATTATTGCTGTAGCTAGACTCTAGACTGAAAGTTGCCCCAGATACAGGCATAATGACTGTAGTACACTGTATTATGTTCTCTTCAGGGGAAGGCAATAGTGTACTTTCTCGTCGGGGGAAGATGGTAGTGATCCATTGTGGCTATCTGCTGTGCTGAGAAAGCAGGTGGAAGAGGGCGGTGTTGTCCCGATGCTTATCGCTCACCGAGTCAGCTGTGTGTGGCTATTCGATGGACTTTTCACGCGTGCATGTGGTGTGTGTGGTGGTTTGGTCCATGTTTACTTTGACTGTACGAGCAGGTGGAAGACGACGGTGTCGTTATACTTGTCACTCATGAGCCTAACTGGCTTCTAGACTGGTATTGGGATAGATCGACCGGGAAAAATGTTACGTACCTGATTCAGCAACACCTACGAGGCCGTTGTAAGGTTCGATTCGCCGGGGACTTGCACTTCTATTATCGGCATTCGGCGAGAAATCCGTCAACGACCCAGGATCTCTCTCGGAGTCAACCGAGCTCCCCGTCAAAGCTGTCGCCATCAGTGTCAGCATGGCCATCGTTCACGAGATGGCCACCATCATCGTCGACTGGTGTGTCACCGTCGTCATCAAGACGACCATCAGGACCCTTGCCACTGTACGAGCAGCTCGTCGTGAACGGAGGTGGCGGAGCATTCATGCATCCAACTCACGTGTTCGAGTCCTTTGGCTCCTTTTCTGACTGTCCATATGAAATGAAGGCAATGTATCCGTCGGTTCACGTCTCACAAGCGGTGAGCGATCCTCATATCATCTCCTGGCAAAACAAATGTAAGCCACCAGTAGTACCTCCGAAAGTTGCCGCGATACGAAAAGGAAGGTGCACTGCCAGTAGCCCTGATTCAAATTGATGACATGTCTCATAAGAGTCATAAGCACTGAGCTACCCGCCCACTCATAGTCTCATTATGACTCTCATACTTCTGCCTTTTCTTTTTTTTCTTTTTCTTTTTTTTTTGAGCAACAAGGAACGTCTGCCTTTTCCCTAGATATTAGTCTATTTTTTCAGTCTATTATAGAACTCTATAATAATAAGCACGAAGGAAAAAGGAAATCAGTGATGTCAACATACCCAAAGCGGAATCCCGGGATGAGCATGAGTGGCATGCTCACACTAGGACTTACCCACTCAGGTCTCCCAACCATAATGGGGAGAAGTGTAAGAGTGAGTTTATCATGTATTTTCTCTTGACTTGCCAGTGGAATAGGAACCACACTGACACTCCCCAGAATGGATGAGGAGCCAGAACCGTAAGGTTCTGTTTAGTTGAATAATAATTCAAAAAAAAAAAAAACGATGGCCCTCCTTCCTCTTGAGATGGCACACTCCGCACACAATACTGACTATTCTCTTACAAGAAAAATAAGTTGAATACCCGCTAACTGTGGTGGTGTCAACCTGCATTTCTTTCCGCAGCATTTCATGTCGACTGCGTCTCATATTTGGTAAAGAGGAAGAAGA